ATTGAGTGTCTACGAACTCTCTGCTTATCGGTCCCCACTGGCTTTTTGTCAGCCTCTAGTTCTTATAGCATAACAGTAATAATCCTTGTGTCTGCTTCAACGCCTTTCAAATGGGAGGACACCTCAAAGCCCTTCACAAGATTCACTATAACGTTTAGTGACTGTTTTGTGGGCAAAACGCAGCAGCCAATTTGCACCCAATGACATCCTCGCAAACAGACGCGAAGTGAATGACTTTTATTCGGGGGAGAGAGAGAGAGAGAGAAACTCCCTTCTCTTTCCCCGACAGAGCTGCGGGATCTTTAACGTGCGCCTGAACCGGGCACAGACGGGAGCTCAACTCATATGAAGGATGGCATCTCCAAAAATGTAGCGTTCCCTAACCCCGCAACCCAGCAGCACTCCGCTGGAGCGTTAGCCAAGACTGTGCATCTCGCACATCCGTGACTCCGAGTCACAATCCAGGTTGATGTTCCAGTGCAGCTCTGGGGGGTGTGGGGGAGAGAGAGAGAGCTCCGCATTGTCGGAGACGCCGTCCTTTGGATGAGAATCTCTCTCTCCCCGTCTGTGCCCTATTTAGACACACATTCATTACATCGAGGCTTGACTATGCAAACTCCTTGCTTAATGGCCTCCCCAGCTCCTCCCTCCATAGGCTGCAGATCATCCAGAACTCTGCCGCACCAGGCCCCATGGTGACCCTATCACCCCCGTCCTCGCCCGACTCCACTGGCTTTCCATCACACAGTGGATACAGTTCAAGATCCTGGTCCTCACCTTCAAAACCCTCCATGGTCTTGCTCCCCCTACCTCTGCCACCTCCTAACCCCCTACCATCCTCCCCGCTCCCCCTCCGCTCAGCGGGCTCCTGCCTGCTTCATGTACCCCACCTTGCCTGCCCCACCATGGCGGGCGGGCCTTCCGCCATTCTACCCCCACCCTCTGGAACTCTATTCCGCAGTCCCTCCACCTCGCCCGCTCCTTTGCCTTCTTCAAGACCCATCTCAAGACCCTCCGCTTCGACCGTGCTTTCGATCATCCTGCTATCTCCCCTGCCCTCCACCCTCCCCAGTCCCGACCCCCAGCTCGGGTCCGAAACACTGACCGTCCAGCACCTTGGGACGTCCTCCTAACGTGAAAGGCGATATACACGTCATTTTGTTGTTGTTGTTCAGGCAGACGATAAAGATCTCCCACGGCGCTGTTGTGTGCAAGCTCATGCTGTGTGTAAAATGGAAGCTGGGCAGCAACTGTAATTACAGTGAAATGCTCTGAGATGTTTCACTATTTTTTGGTCCTATAAAAATGCTAATTCTTCCCCTCTCCTGTGGGAATCCTGATTCAGATCCTTGGAATTCTTAGAGGTTTCCAAAAGGATAAATAGTGAACAAGTGGTGCTCCCTGTGGTGGGTGTCAGGGACCAGAGGGCATAAACCTCAGGATTGGCGATGGTAGAGTAGCCTTCAGCCCCTGATTTCACCCGACAGTTACCCTTGATTTTACCCAGTTTTTAGTCCTCGATTTTAAGCTGAATCCACCCTCTCTGTTACCCAAGAATTCACGTCCGGAAATAAATTCCCATCTATCATAACAAAGTTTTCCGTAATTTTTCACTCTATTCCCCAACTTGTAACTTATTCCCAAAATCCGTCACCACAGCAACCAGACAGGCCTCTCCCTGGGGAGCATTCACAGCTGGGCCCCTCCTGACTCCTGTCACTGCCAGCCAGCGTCTGCTTGCCGCTCGCGCAGTAATTAAGCTATTATGTGCAATTAGCCCCATTATATAATAATCCTCACACTCGTAGAGCAGCAAAGCGTGTCAAAGAGCGTCGCTTGGGGTCTGGTGTGTACACAGCCAGTCCACACGTTACACACTAAGCCACCCTCATCCTGTTAATACAGTCACACAGCGAGTAGCGTCCTGTAGTTCATTGGTTGGAGCACTCGCCTCGCCCCGAATGGCCTCTTTTTGTGCTGTACAATTCTATGATTCTATGATTCTATAAGTAAGAGGACCTGGGTTTGATTCTTGGGCGGGCAGGGTGAAACCTTAGGCAAGTTTCCTTACTCCACACGCACGCCTCTGTTTGCCTAGTGGTAAGCAAGAACCTGGTTGTGCGTCGATTGGCGGATCACTTTTCCTGGGGTAGTAATCCCTCGCCGAAAAATGTGTTTACTCAACCCATGATTGTTTGTGGGACGCTGCTGTGTGCATTTGGCTGTCATGTTTCACCCACAAAATGCACAGTCAGTCCACTTTACAGTGTATCCTGTGAAGCTCTTTGAGACGTCTCAACGACTTGATAAGGCGCTGTAGCAAATACAAGGATTATTATTTCAAGTGCTCTGCATGAGGGGCGCTACATTAATGCAAGTTGTTGTTGTTGTTGAGCCTCACCTTGTGTAGACACGGTGAGTGTGGGGGGGTGGGGGAGAGTAGGGGTTAGCTGTGGAGAGGGTGAAGCCAGTGATCGCTCCTCTTGTGAAGAACTGCCTTTACGATGCGAGACCAGGGTTCTGCGATCAGAATGTCTTCTATTTTGAAGCTGATTTGGGTAGAAAGCTTTATTTTCCCAGTGTCTGCAGCCATAGGATGAGTCTCTCTCAATAATGGATGAATGTGGTGTCTGTTCTGGTATCGTCACCGAGAACAACTGCTCAGAGGTGCGGAAAGTGGAGTCTGTCCTTCCAGCCCGATCCCCAAGGATATCAACCCCCCCCCCACCACCCTCATACAACTCTCCCCACTCTCACCCCCACACACACCCCAGCGCTCCTCTCAGTCCGTGCCCCACCCTTGGAGACACCGGACAGTTGGGCGGAATTATAATAATAATAATTATAATAATAATCCTTGCATTTGATACAGCGCCTTATCACATTGTTGAAATGGTTCAAAGTTCAAAGTGCTTCATAGAATAAACTGTAAAGTGCAGTAACTGTGTATTTTGTGGGTGAAATACAGCAGGCAGTTGCGGACAGCAGTGTCGCACAAACAGTCGTGGATTGAGTGACCACATTATTATTTTGGGGGGCGCGGAGGTGGGGGGATTATTACCCCCGGAAAGTGATCTGCAAAACAACTAACAACCGAGTTCCTACTTACTGCTGGGTAAACAGCGGCGCGAGCGTGGAGTCAAGAAACTTGCCTAAGGTTTCACCCTAACCAGGAATCAAACCCGGGTTTTCTCGCTTGCGAGGCGACCTGGGATGTGGTACACAAGAGGCTAAGGAGCCCGGCTTTCTCCCTCAACCTCTCGGCCCATTATTTGCTCTAATTGTTCCACGTTTAAAGGTCTCCACGGGGCTCAAAGGGTGGAGTCTGGCAGGTGTCACTGGATGGGTTTGGGGGGAGAAGCCCCTTTGGCGCCTCTGACCGCAACCTGTCAGGAGACAAGGGGTTAAACCCTGTAGTGACTAAGCTGTTACTGAGTGTTGAGCAGGTCACAGGGGCTTCGGACACTTGTTTTAACTCTAAACCCTGCTCGCTCTCTCACTCACTCTCTCACTCTTGCTCACTGTCTCACTCACCCTCTCACATTGACGCCCTCTCTCGCTCACTCTCTCACTTGCCGTCTTGCTCTCTCTCTTCCTCTCACTCACCCTCTCTCGCTCGCTCGCCCGCTCGCTCTATTACTCGCCCTCTCACTCGCTCTCTCATTCTGTCGCTCTCTCATTCTCTCTGTCTCACCCTCTCTCTGCCCCTCTCGCTCTCTCTGCTCAGGAGGAAGCCTCACAGCTGGACAAGCTCATGCTGGATGTTGGGAAGAGGTAATCAATAGCGTTCACATGCTCTGTGCCTTTCAGTGGCTGATCCATCAATCGGCCCGTGGCTCAGGTTAGCGACAGAATCTGTGTTTGTTATCGTACCAATTAGTCAGCGATCAGACTGCGTGAGGCGGGGGAGAGGAAGACCCTCGGGCGCTTATTGACAGGCGAAAGAGAGAGATGAAATAATAATAATAATAATCCTTGCATTTGATATGTGGCTTCATCACGTTGTCAAGACATCTCTGTGTATTTTGCAGGCGAAACACGGCAGCCAATTGCGCACAGCAGTGTCCCACAAACAGTCGTGGAATGAGTGACCACATTTTTTTTTTGAGGGATTATTAACCCTGGAAAGCGATCCGCCAATTGTTTAACAACCGGGTTACCACTTACTGGAAGGTAAACAGGCGTGCGCGCGTGCGTCTGCGTGTGGCTTTCGGAAACTTGCCTAAGGTTTTGTCCTGCCCAGGAATCGAGCTGTGGTCCTCCCGCTTGCGAGGCGAGCGCGGTGACTACTACGCTACAGGGACTCGATGAAAGGAAAGTTCTCATGGTTTCTCTGAGAGGTGGAGAGAGGGAAAGGGAAAGGGAGTGAGCGAGAGAGAGAACAGGAATTATCTAAACTCACACGGACAAAACTTGGCTGCAGCTGGTTGGGGAGGAAGCCGAGGACACGAGTAATCGGGATTGTATCGCTTCATGAATTATTAAACAGCCTGAGTTCTATTAGCACTTGTGTGAACGCTGCAATTTGTAGCCAGGTCTTTGCATGGAGAGGAGCGCTCTCTCTCTCTCTTTCTCCTCTCTCGCTCTCTCTCTCTCTCTCTGTGACAGCTGTATTAGTGCTGATAAGCAGGACAGAGAGCAGTCATCAAGTAGTGAGCTCCGGCAGTTAGCGAAACACAACTGAGAGCCACCAGCTCTCTCTCTGTCTCATTCTCTCTCTCTGTCTCTTCTCTCATGCCCTCTCTCTCTTTGTGTCTGTCTCTTCTTTTTTTCCCCTCTCTCTGTCTCGTTCTCTCTTTCTTTTCTCTTCCCGCTCTATCTCCGTCTCTCTCGTTTCTATCTTCTCTCTCTCGTTGTTTCGTTCTCTCTGTCTTCTTTCTCCCCCCTTCTGTCTTCCCTTTTATCTCTTCTATCTCCCCCTCACTCTCTGTCTCCGTCTCTCTCTTCCCCCCGCTCTCTTCCCCGTCTCTTGTCTCATTTTCTCCCTCTCTCTTTTCGTTCTCGTTCTCTCTCGCCCCCTCCCTCTCTCGCTCGCTCTAAGTTCCGTAGCAGGATCCAGTCTCAGTCTCCAGTCGGTGGTGTTGGTTTGGTGAGCGCTGGCTCTCTCCGCACGTCAGGCACAGCTAGAGACACAGGCAGAGCCGAGCACTCCCACAGCCAGGCCAAATGCCGATAGAAATAGTTTGCAAGATTGCCTTTTCGGAGGAAGAGGAGAAGCAGAAGGCGACGAGGGAATGTGACAAGGAGAGCTTGCTGGAGGAGGAGAGTGGAGCTCCCCCCAGCACCCTGTCTGCCTTCGCTGACACCTGCACCCTACATGGGCTGAGCCAGATACTGGGGCGAGGGGGAGGCGGGGGGCTGAGGCGGGGGGTCTGGACGATGGCCTTCCTGGCCTCTCTCGGTCTCTTCCTGCACCAGGTGGTGAGCAGTGCAGTGCTGTACCTGCAGCACCACCACGTCACCGCAGTGGACGAGCAGAATGGCCGGGAGATCGCCTTCCCCGCCATCACCATCTGCAACATCAACCGCTTCCGACACACCGCCCTCACTGACGCTGACATCTTCCACCTGGCCAACATGACCGGGCTCCCGCCCAAGAACAAGGCCGCCAACAAGGGCTACGCCAAGGCCAACATGGAGGACATATTTAACCGCACTGGTCACCAGATGAAGGAGATGCTGAAGAACTGTAACTTCAGTGGAGTTCAGTGTCTGCCCATTAATTTCTCCGTGGTACGTTCTGCTCTTTATACCTCCCTCTCTCTCTCTCTCTCTCTCTCTCACTCCCCCTCTCCATCCCTCTCTCCACACTCACAGTCTTTCCCTCCATCTGCTCACTCTCCCTCCGCTCTCACTCTCTACGCTCCCCTTCCCTCCCTCCATCTCTCCCTCCGGTCTCTCTCTCTCCCCCCCTCCTTCACTCCCTCTCTCTGCTCGCTTTCACTCTCCCTTACTCTGTTTCCCAAAGCTCTTTTTCTTTCTCTCTCTCTCTCTCTCTCTCTCTCTCTTTCTCTCACCGGGCTCTCTTTCCCTCCATTCTTTATCTCCCCTCTCTCTGCTCTCTCTTTCCCTTTCTCGCTCTCTCTCTCTGCTCTCAGATTGTGGGAATATTAATGTTTTACATCAATGAGAAGCCGATGTGTCTCTCACACTTTTGCAGAGTGGGAGACAGTTGGTGGGATATTAATCCTCCCTCTGCCTCTTACACCAGTTGTGCATGTGTCCCAGTTCCATGCTGTAGCATGTGTGCGTGCCTGTGTGCTCGTGTCGTAGGCCTCGTGTGTGTTCTGGGACGTGTTTGCGTGTCCCAAAACATGTGCGCTCTGTGAGTCGGGGCTCATGGTCGCTACTCAATTCTGTGTCAATCAAGCCACTTGAGGCATTTGGTCGCGGTATCAATCAGGCGTGTTAGTGACTGTCGGTCACGTGTTCAGGCATGTTATTGACTGTTGGTCACATGTTCAGGTGTGTTAGTGACTGTCGGTCACGTGTTCAGGTGTGTTAGTGACTGTCGGTCACGTGTTCAGGTGTGTTAGTGACTGTCGGTCACGTGTTCAGGTGTGTTAGTGACTGTCGGTCACGTGTTCAGGCATGTTAGTGACTGGCGGTCGTGTGTTGAGGCATGTTAGTAACTATGTCACATGTTCAGGCATGTTGGGGCTTGTCGTGTTTTGGCGTATCAATGAATGGCAATCAAATGTTGAGATGTGTTAGTGATTGACAGTCACATGTTGGGATACAATATTGACTGTGAATTTAAATCCCAGGTCCACTTTATACAAAATACATGGAGGTGAGTGAGTGAGTGAGTGAGTGAGAGAGAGTGAGGGATGGAGAGAGCGATGGAATGAAAGAGCGAGGGAGGGAGAGAGCGATGGAGAGAAACTGAGAGCTAGAGAGAGGGAGGGAGTGTGAGAGAGTGAGAGCAAGGGAGGGAGAGAGCAAGGGAGAGAGAGGGAGTGAGGGAGGCAGACGGGGAGTGAGGAGATCAGATGAGCTGGAGATTGTGATACAGAGACACCTACTGAAGGTGAGGTCAAAGCAGGAGTAGCACTCACTGGGTGTGGAGGGTCATAGTGGGTGCGGGGAGTATGATGTTGGGGGGAGGCTCACAGGCGGGGGGGAGGGGGGGTAAAACATCCCCTCCCTTCGCTGTCATCATTGTTGAACCATCCTCTGCGCTATACAGATGTAATTTGTTGTTGTGGTTGAAACAATTCAGAAATAGCTGTTTCTTGTCAGATGTGAATTTTCCCATCTTGAAACATTACTTCACTCTGATCTTTATCATCTCTCTCTCTCTCTCTCTCTGTCTCTCTCTCTCTCTCTCAGTCTCTCTCTCTCTCTCTGTCTCTCTCTCAGTCTCTAGCTCCCTGTTTCTCTTTCTCTGCTTCTCTCTCTCTCTTTCTCTCTTGTTTGTTGAGTGAATGAGTGTGTGTGTCTCTCTCTCTTTCTCTCTCTCAGTTTTGATTAATAATAATAATAATCCTTGCATTTAATATAGCACCTTATCACGCCTTCATCTCAAAGCGCTTCACAGAATATACTGTAAAGTGGATTGACTGTATTTTGTGGGCAAAACGCAGCAGCCAATTGACCTTAGCAGTGTCCCACACACAGTCGTGGATTGAGTGACCAACTGTTTTTTAAATTAATCCAGCAAATTTTTGGCTAGGTCACTGGGAGAAACTCTGGTCTGGAGGGTCAGGTGGCAGGAGGTTGTGGGTTCCAGCATCCCCCACGTCAGGGGCTCTGAGCTCTCAGTCCAGCCTGTGCTGGGGATAGAGAGAGAGAGAGAGCCACATTGTCGGAGACATCGTCTCTGTTTCTGACTCTGTTGTGTAGATGAGGTGCATGAAGCACTTTGTGTGGGTAAAAAGATTAGTTATCGCTGGTGAGGAGACGAGTAACCGTGAGTGAGGAAAGGTGGTTATTATACACAACAGGCTCTCAGGTCACTGACGTCAAATCAGGAATGAGCAAAAATATCAATGCAACAAGATACCAAGGCACAAAAACTGAGACACTCACTCACACACATACACTGACATACAGTCACATAAGCACAACACTCGCACACGGACTCAAATATTCACTCACACCCTCACACAGACATACTCGCACGCACACACTCACGTGCATACTTACTCTTACAGACACAAACACAAACAAAAGGGGCCTCAGTTTATAATAATTATTATTGGCAATAATCCTTGTATTTGATATCACGCCTTATCGCAGAATCAAAAGGTTTCAAAGTGTTTCACAGGACACAGGGTAAAGCAATAGTGACTGTATAGTTTTGGAGGGAACGTGACAGCCCATATACGCACACCAACGACCCCGCAAACAGCCGTGAAGTAAGTGAGTGATTTTATCATGGGATTGTCGGCCAGGACACCAGGAGAGAGAGAGAGAGAGAGAGAGCAACCCCTATCTCTTTTCCCGACAGCGCCGTGGGATCTTTAACGTCCGCCTGAACAGCGTACAGACTTGGAGAGAGAGTAAAGTTTAACATCTCGCCCAAAGGACGGCATCTCCAACAATGCAGCACTCTCTCTCTCTCTCTCTCTCTCTCTCTTCCCCACCCCCCCAGTACTGTGCTGGAGCGTCAGCCAGGACTGTGAGCTCAGAGCCCGTGACGTGGGGGGAGGGCTAAACCTGCGAACGGACGTGTCTGGCTGCGAATTGCCGAGAGGCTGCTGAGCTGAGGTGCTGTTGAGACAAGATAGCTGCTAATTCCTGTTCACTCAGGGCAGAGACCTGCTTATTAACTGAGGGTCATGGGCTGATATCAGCCATCGTTATTATGTGTCATACCCCCCCCCCACACACACCATACAGACACACACACACACAACACGCACACCATACTGACGCACACACAACACACACTCTGCACCCCCCCCCACACACACACACACACACACACTCATACATAGGAACATAAGAATTTGCTGGACGAAAGAAGACCAAGGTCCATCCAAAAACAGAAGTGGCTGGGAACACTCAGCGGGTCAGGCAGCATCTATGGAGAAAGGAATGTTGGTCAACTTTTCGGATCTGACGAAGGGTTGTGGGACCTGAAACGTTGACTCACTTTCCTTTCTCCATAGATGCTGCCTGACCTGCTGTGTGTTCCCAGCCACTTCTGTTTTTGTTTTCAGATTTCCAGCACCTGCAGTATTTTGTGTTTTGTCCAAGGTCCATCCAGTTGGCCTTCCACCATCCTGGCTGTCGCTTGACATGTCATGCCCCAAAGTGTACACTGTATCCCCAGATAACAGAAATCTACCTCATTTGTTCTTGAAATAAATTTTTTTTGCCTTCCATTCATTTACTATTCACACACAGCCCCTCGCCCCGCACGCGCGCACACACACACACACCGCCCAACACACACCGCTCACACACTCACATACGCCCCCTCCCCCCCCCCCCCGACACACATGCCCCCACACACACCACCTACACACAAACACACAATGACTGAGGTGCGCACACTCTCTCAGCACTTTCTAACTCTTCCGTTGGTGAGTGACTCCCAGGCGCTGACTGTGGGGCGAGGTCAGTGCGATGGACAAAGGCAACACATTCACGGTGACCACTGCCAGCAACACAGGTTTTGAACAACGGACAAAAGCTTCTCTCTCAGACACCACGGTTGGGCTGTCAGAGACTCAGGCAGACATAAAGAGGCCATTATTACATGCTGTGAGAATCAGAGCTGAGTAGGGCTCAGGCGCGCGCGCTCTCTCATAATCTCTCAGCTCCATCGTGGAGAGTTCAGTCACTCTCACAATACGTCACTCCTCTCCCCGCTCTGCAGCCCCTCAATCCTCTCTTCTCTCCCCCATTTCCTTCTTCCCCCCTCACACCCTATCCCACACACTCTCTCTCTCCCCCATCTCTCTTTACACCCCCTTCTGTCCTCAGTTCCCCACTATGCCTCTCTCTCCCACCAATGCTGCACTGGAGCATCAGCCTGCACCAGAGATCAGAGCCCCTGGATCGGGGGATTAAACCCAGCACCTTCTGACCCCGAGGTGTGAGAGGGACAGAGCGGTCGGTGAAGTCCTCGGACGCTGGTCGGCATGACTCGGGGAGAACATGGGTTATGGAGAGGACAGACTCCGAGTCACACAAACAGTTGGACAGACACCACAGAGAGACTAATGGAGCAATAAACTGGATAAGGAGACAGTCAGACAGCTACGTAACTAGATGCCGGAGGCAGTCAGACAGAAAACAAGCGGTCCTTTTTTCAGTCTGCTGTGTTTTTGAGAACCTAACATTAACTTAGGTCTATTGCCATCCCCTGCTCTCTCTTCCCATCGTGTCTGTGCTGGTGCTCGCTACCCCACTGGAGCTCTCTAATCTCATTCCCTGCTCTCTCCCCATCGTGTTGCGTTTGATGAGATTAGAGTAAAGCGCTCCAGTGGGGGAGCGAGCATCAGCACAGACACGATGGAGAGACAGAGAGCAGGAGATGGTGTGTGTGTGAAAAATTGTGTGGAGCCTGGCTTGAGCAGCTGCCTTTAATCCGCTGTTAAACCAAGTGTGAAACAAGTGACAGCAGAGAGCACTTCGGTGACTTGTGTAAGAAAGTAAATAGCTGTGTTTGTGATCCCGACAATCTCAGCCTGACTGGTCAGTCTGACCGACTCCCCCCCCCCCACCCCACTCCCGGTTGGTCACGGTGATGGGTTTCCGTGTGTGGGTCAGAAAAAAAA